TCCCTCTGGGTAGCTGGCTGTGACCAAGCATTGACTACAGCCTTACTCCTTGTCAGCTCCATTATACACCTGGGAATTCAGATCATACACATAAAGTTATAGGACCACTGTCTGCCAACCCTATACATGTTCTTGGTTGCACTCCCCACTTCATAGCCATAGCTAATAGTTCAGCCTGTCCACCCATCTATCCACCCATATACCCGTATTTGCCTTCACTGACCACATTGTACTATATGTGCAAAAGGGTTCATCTTTGTTTTCTGTACTTCTCACGTACCTCTCTATGTCTTTCTCTTCCTCAGTGCCACTATATATATTGATTACTCACATTTGGTACATTGCCTTTCTCTTCACCCAAATAAAAACTTATCTCTATCTATCTAATCGTACTCTCTACCCTACCCTCCCACCCCTGGTAACCAACAAAGAAAATGACCTTCCACAGACAAGCATTTCCTTGACTTTTACAATCACAAGGTGATCAAGATCTCTACAGTATTTGTCCTTTTGTGATTGACTTATTTCACTCAGCATAAAGTCTTCCAAGTTCGTCCACGTTATGTGGTGTTTTGCAGATTCTACATTATTCTTTAGGGTTGCATCGTATTCCATTGTGTGTATGTACCATAATTAGGATATCCATTCTTCAGTTGATGGACACCTAGGTTGTTTCCATCTTTTGGTATTGTAAATAGTGCCGTGATGAACATGGATGTGCATATGTCTTTTCTTGTCATGGCTCTCATTTCTTTAGGATATATACCTAAAACTAGCAGCTTTCTGAGTCACTTAATAAATAGGCCACAGCAACACACCCAAATGAGGGATATGTTGCCTCCCAAATCCAAAGAGGCCCACCAGACGTTGTGCCTCCTTTTTAGTTGTGGGGCAAGTCAGATACAATAACTTATCCTTCACTTTAGTAGGAATATTTCAACATGCTCCACACCATTGGACCCCTAGAAATTTCACTGAGGTGGAAGGTGCCATAATTTTTGTTGGGTTAATTTCCCAACCTCTAGTATGCATATGTCTTACCAATAAGTCTAGAGTCATCAATACTTCTTCCTTACTAGGTCCAGTCAGCATAATGTCATTAATATAATGGACCAGTGTGATATCTTGTGGAAGGAAAGGTGATCAAGATCCCTACAGACTAAATTATGACCTAGTGCCGGGGAGTTGATATACCATTGAGGAAGCACTGTGAAAGTATATTGTTGGCCTTGTCAGCTGAGGGCAAACTCCTTTTGATAGTCCTTTGAAATTGGTATTGAGAAAAAAGCATTGGCCAGAACAATAGCTGCATACCAAGTACCAGGAGATGTACTAATTTGCTCAAGCAATGAAACCACATCAGGAACAGCAGCTGCAATTGGAGTCACCACCTGATTAAGTTTACAATAATCTACTGTCATTCTCCAAGATCCATCTGTTTTTTGTACAGGTCAAATAGGTGAATTAAATGGGGGATGTGGTGGGAATCACCAACCCTGTATCCTTCAAGTCCTTGATGATGGCAGTGATCTCTGCAACCCCTCCAGGGATGTGCTATTGCTTGTGATTTACTATTTTTGTAGGTAGAGGCAGTTCTAATAGGTTCCACTTGGCTTTTCCTACCATAATAGCCCTTACTCCACATGTCAGAGACCCAATGTGGGAATTCTGCCAATTGCTTAGTATATCTATTCCAATTATGCATTCTGGTACTGGGGAAATCACTACAGGATGGGTTCGGGGACCCACTGGACCCACTGTGAGACGCACCTTTGCTAAGACTCCCATCAATAACTTGACCTCCATATGCCCCCACTCTGACTGGTGGGCCACAATGACACTTTGGGTCTCCTGGAATTAGTGTCAATTCAGAGCCAGTGTCCAGTAATTCCCGAAAAGTCTGATTATTTCCTTTTCCCCAGTGAACAGTCACTCTCGTAAAAGGCCTCAGAGCCCTTTGGGGAAGGCTGGGAGAAAGATTGACATTATAGATTTTTGGCTATGCAGTAGGGTCCTTCCTCAAAGGGACCTGGCTTCCCCTTCATTCAAGGGGTTGTGGGTCTGTAAACTGACTCAAGTCTGGGAATTGATTGAGAGGCCGTGACTCTGTATTCTGGCGATTCAATTTAGGCTGCTGTTCATGTGACCTAGAATTCTTCTGTCTGTACAGATCAAGTAAATATTTAGTAGGCTTGCCATGTACTTCACTACTAGAAACACCATGTGCAAGTAATAAATGCCATAATTCCACATGAGTGAGACTATTGTGATTACTGTTCTGACTCTGCTGTCCTTGTACAGAGAGGGCAGGGAGGTGATGGTGAGGTGGGAATGGATCTCTATCCAAAGAATTGGGGACCAGAGTTCTTGTCCTGGTTTTGCCATTTATTTGCTATGATGCCTTGGGCTAGTCACTTCTGTTTGTGGGCCTCCATTCCCAGTATACTTTTACACTTGACTCACATGGAGTCTCCATGAGTCAGAATCAACTCAGTTGCAACTGAGTTGCAATGAAAAGAGTTGACTGTTCTCAATAAGGTTCCTTGGCTCTGACATCCTGTGGTCTTACTGGTGGATTTTGTTATTCATATGCCATTTTAGATACCAGATTTCACCATTTATCATGGGAAAGATGGTAGGTAGGAATGGAAGGAGCCAGTGCTTATTCAGTGCCTGCTGTTTGGAGACTCTTTAGATTATAATCTCATTTGATCTTTGTGACAAAAGTAATTTAATATTATTTCCATTTTACAAATGTGTAAATTTTAGCTGAGGGAGGTTAAGTCACTGAAATGTGCACACAGCTAGTAGAAGGCAAAGCTGGGAGCAAACTCATTGTATTGCTTCCTCCCTGCTCCCTACCACCCTGGTATTTTATCAGGAGCTTCCTGGATTCTTCACAATTAATTCTCTGCTACTGACTATTCACTTGTAGGTGGTTTTTCTGTAGAGTAGAATTGTCACTTTTATCTGTGGCACTGACTCAAGAAAGAAAAATTAAAAAAAAAATGTTTATTGTGATTTGGGTGAAAGTTTACTGAGCAAATTCATTTTCCATTCAGCAGTTCATACACATTTTGTTTCATGATGTTGACTGCAATTCCCCACAATGTAACAGCTCTCTCTTCCCACTTCCTCCCTTTACCCTGTGTCCTTCCCTCTCATGCACTCCCCACCCCCAGCTGTCTCCTTGTGCATACACAGCCCTTATAATCTCCCATGATTGATCTCTCCAAGGAGTTTATTTCCTGATATAAATGTTCACCTCATATGCCTGTGTATTGTTTGCCTGGAAGCTACAGGAGTGAGTTCAGTTCCAGACCTGAAGGGTAACTAGGGGCCATGGTCTCAGGGGTCTCACCAGTCATCAGGCTCTCTCAGACCAGCAAATCTGGTGGGTTTTTTTTTTTTTTTTTAATGATTTTGAGTTTTTGTTCCATACTGTTCTCTCACTTTATCCAGGATCTCCTTCACCAATCCCCAACCACCACCTCCCGTGGTTGACAGTGGTAGCCAGGTACCATCTAGTTCTTCTGATCTTGATGTCATATAGACTGAGGATCACATGGTCTACCAGTTCTTGGTCTAATTGTTTCCATGCATCTTTGGTCTTTTTTATTCTCCTTTGCTCTGTATGAGGAGAGACTCATCGTTGCATCTAGATGGTTGCTTACATCTTTTAAGACCCCAGTCGCTACTTACCAAAGTAGGATGTAGAACAGTGTTTTTGTGTCATATGTTATACCAGTTGAGCTTGATGTCTCCTGCAGTCATGGTACCAAGCCCACAGGTCTAACTACTAGTCGTTCCCTCAGGGTAGCTGGTTGTGGCCAAGAAACCACCACAACCTTGTCCCTTATCTCTTCTGTACACCCAGACATTCTTACAGCACATACAAATAGGCTTACAGAAACATTGTCTGCCAACCCTATGGGTCATGGGTACATCCTCCCTTCCTGGACATACCTGATCATTCATCCTGTCTACCCATCTGTCCACACATAGATCAATGCTTGCCCTCACTGACAGTGCAGTACTGTACATGCAGAAGGGTTCATCTTTGTTGTTATACCTCTGATGTACCTCTCTATGTCTTCCTCCTCCTTAGTGCCACTGTGTTGATGACTCACTTTTGGTACATTGGTCTTGCTTTTACCCAAATCAATACTTGCCTAGAGAGAGAAAATTTTAAGCATGTTTCTTTTTTTCTTAATTTTTAAGCATATCTCTTTCTTACAGGTAGCAGTAGCTGACGTGCAGTTTGGCCCCATGAGATTTCATCAAGATCAACTTCAGGTAATATTCAAATGCAATAAATAATGAACTGTGTCATAATATTCATATGTTGATTTTCTTTATAGAGGGAAAGGGAATGGGGCCTAATACTATACATTAAAAACAATCTTTTTTAGATAATAAACCAAACCCACTGCCATCATGTCTTTTCCAACTCATAGTGACACCCCCCCCCCTCTTGGGTTCTGAGGTGGTAAATCTTGACAGAAGATTGTTCCATCTTCCTTCCACTTTTAGGTAATAGTCTATTTTAACTAATAGCATTGGGTCAATGTTAAATTTCTTGAACTTCTTAACACTACTATGGTTATATAAGGGAATGCTCTTTTCTTAGGAATATATATTGAAAAAAGGGTTGGCAGAAATATGCTTTTTTAGTTGCTAACTGTGGCATTTGTGCAGTTGGATAAATTTAGAGGAACTAAGCTTTGGAAGAATAGAGTTTCTGTCCTAGTGACTACCTTGCTACTGCCGCACTGACCCCATTGGTCAGTCTGGTTCAGAAGGAGTGGAACAGTGGTGTTCCTGAACCAGGTTTGGCTGGAAGTACCTGGTAGGGAGGAAACAATCTATCCTGTCCCCTGGGCAGCAGATTTGGGCCTTACCTGGTTTGTACCAGATGCCCAGATAGCACCCATTGCCTTGGATTGAGGTGTAGATATACTGCTTCTTGCAGCCAGTCCTGTTACTTTGTCACTTATCCAGCAGGCTTTCAAATGTAACATTTCGGTCTACTTTAAATTTCTCTCCTCATCAAAGTAACTTTTTTTTTTTTTTTTAATTTGGAGAAATTGCATAAAGCTTAAGTCAAACATTTAAATACATTATGTAAATGATTAAGTATTCCAGTAGTTCAGTGAAATAATGTTGAATTTTTTTATTGAAATAATACTGAATTTGGCATCTTACTTGGTATTACTTACTTGCTATTAAGTATAATAAATCATTGTTTTAATTGATTTTGTTTTAAGGTAAAGTACTTAAGGAATTATTATTTTATGATATATTAATCAAATGTTTGTTGAGTTCTGCTTTTTCTGGACTTCCAAACTGAGAACAGATAGAAAACATCATTGATTTCGAGTTAAGTGATAATGTCCCTGAGTTATAAAAAGAAGAATTTATACTGACAGATTGTTATGCTTGTATCCAGGTACTTGTCTTGAAAACACTTGAGATTTTTCTGTGGCTCATTAAGAACTGTCAATTCTAACAGCATCTTTTTTTTGGGGGAAAAAAAGTGCCCATGCTCTTTTCATCCAGGTACTTTTAGTGTTTACCAAAGAAGATAGCCAGTATAATGGATTCTGTAAGGCGTGTGAAAAGGCGGGGTTTAAGTGTACAGTCACTAAGGAGCCTCAGGCTGTGCTTGCCTGCTTCCTGGACAAACATCATGATATCATCATCATAGACCACAGATATCCCCGACAGCTGGACGCAGATGCTCTGTGCAGGTAACCCTGAGACTTTTAGGCCTGAATAATGTTGATATTTGTGAGGATAAATGCAACCCAGAGAGTACATTACATTAAATTCATTCTCTCTTTTAAGGTATGAATTTGCCTTCCATGCGTATAAAATAATCAAACATTCAAAAAAAAGAAAAGAAAAAAAAACAAACTCACTGCCATTGAGTTGATTCTGGCTCATAGTGACCCCCATTGGATTTCTGAGGTGGTAATTCATTACGAAAGTAGATTGCCCCACTTTCCTTCTGCAAGTGGCTGGTGATTTGAATCACCCACCTTCTGGTTAGCAGTCAGATACCTTAGATATTGTGCAACCAGAGCTCCTTAATCAAACATTAAAAAAAAAAAAACAACTCACTACTGTCAAGTCAGATCCAATTCATAGTGACCCTTCCTTAGGTTCCAAGGCCTTATCACTACAGAAGTAGGTTGTCCAACTTTCCTCCCGAGGAGTAGCTGGTGAGTTTGAACTGCCATCCTGGTTAGCAGTCAAATGCCTTAGGCACTATGTCACCAGAGCGCCCAATCAAACATTAGAATACCATTATTTCTAGAAATACTCTTATTATCTTTTCTGTTTTGTTTTGTTTCCTTTGCTTAAAACAGTAAGAAACTATAAATGAGAATCATTAAGGCTTATCTGAAACCCAGTATGTAATTAACAACTACTTGACTGCTAACCAGAAGGCTGATGGTTCAAACCCACCAGCCACTCCTCAGAAGGAAGATTGGGCAGTCTACTTCTGTAGTGATACTGCCCCATAAACCCAAGGAGGGGTTGCTATAAGTCTGAGTCGCTCAGCAGCAGTGAGTTTTGTTTTTTGCTTTTTTGGATTGTCTGTATGTTGTTGTTATGTGCTATCGAGTCAGACCTGACTCATAGCGACCCCTCCTTGGGTTTCCAAGGCAGTATCACTATGGAAGTAGGATTGCCCAACCTTCCTTCCG